GATCCTGGGGGGAAAATCGGAGGGTGTTTTAGGGCGTCGATGGCCACAAACCGGATACGGTCTCCATGAGGGAAGGGGAGCCTTACAAATGCCGCTCCCCCCGTCCCAGCTGCCAAGGCAGCCCTCACTCCAGAATGAATAGGAGGGGGGTGTGGATGAATCACTAAGGTTCAGCCGGGGCGCCGAGCAGCAGGCGGCGGCTCATCTGCATTTCCAAAGGCCCGCCCCGTCCGCATCCCCTCCCCCAGGAAGGGCCGGAGATCCGAGGGTTTACCCCAGAGCCCTCCGCCTCTGGGGATCCCGGGGAAGGCCCGCTCGGCTTTCCCAGGCCCCAAACCCCACCCCACCTTCCAGAGCGCCGGCTGGCCGGCTGTGCCTGGACGGCCACCTAGGGACGTCGGTGGCCTGCGTGAGGGCCTCATGCCCCAAGTGGGGACAAAAGGGACCCACCCGCCCCTCGGGCTCGGCTACCAAAGGGCGGTTGGAAGCCGGACGTGGGCGCCGAGGCTCGGGGTGGGCAGCAGGGACGGCCTGGGATCAGGGCCGGGCCGCGGGGAAGAAGTCCGCGGCCCCTGGAGGAGCCGGTCGGGGTCAGGGGGCGGCCTCGAAGCCCCGACTGACCCCGTGGCCTTTTGCTACTGGCTCCCGCGCGGCAGGGAAGAGAAAAGACCCCGCGGGCGCACCAGCCTCCTCGTGCCCCCGGGGGCCCCAGGTCGGGAGCGGGGTCCGAGGAGGCTGCGGAACCCGCGCTCTTCGTCGAGGTTTCCCCGGGCCAGGGGCGTCCCCGCAGGCGGAGGCCTGGAACGCGGGCGGCGCCGCGGCGGCCTCCCCTCCCCCCACCCCGCCGCCTCCTTCCCTCCTCCCGCCTGGCGCGCGTCGGCCGCCACCGCCCGAGCCGCGGGCGGCGCGCGAAATGGCGCCCGTCTGACCGCCTCGCCCGGCGGAGGCGAGCGCGAAAGCCGCGACGCGCGACGCCCCCAGGCCCGCGGCCCCCAAAACGGCCTCCGTGACCACCCCTCGACCCGGGGCGCTGTGTCCTGCGGGCTCTCGGGGCTCGACTCGGCCGAGGGGCCGCCGCCTCCTCCGGGCTCCCAACGACAACCGGGAAAGGAGGGAGGAAGGAAGAAAGCGGCCGCCATTAGCCACCCGCAGTCCCGCCCTGGCTCTTGCCCCGGCCTCGGCCTCGGCCCCGGCCCAGCCGGCGGCTCTGCTCTGAACCTGAAAATAAAATTCGTGTTTGGGAGGGAGGAGCGAGCGCGGCCGGGAGCACAGGCAGCGCTCGGGCTGCAGGCGGGAGAGATGCTGCGTCATGGTGCCAACATGGACGCCGGCCTTTTGTCCTTTTTCGCTCAGGAAGCGCAGGCGCACCCCGGAGCCCCGAAAAGCCGGCTTCGGAGGGCGAGACCCCCCACAACCAAAAGGGCAAGAGGCCCCAGGCCCGGAAGGGGAGGCTTCCTCGGCTTTTGTGCCCCCATTCCCCAAAGCACTTCAATTTCTTCTCCCCCCAAGGCTCAGACCTAGAAAAGCAAGGAGGACGAGCGCAGGCGGCTCCGTGGATGCCCCACGTCGCTGGGGAGACCTTCCTCTCGCCTCCGGGGCAGAAGGGGCAAAAAGGCCTGAAGAGCCCTCCTCGTCCCCACCCCCCACCCCTCCCGATCCGGCTGCCAGACGTGAAGCTCCTGAAACCTTCTCCCCTCAGCTCCCAAACATTTGCAGCCCTTGGCCTGCTCGAAAAAACATTTCCTCGAAGGGGTAAAAGGCACTTTTGTTGTTGTTGTTGTTGTTGTTGTTTTTACTTACCCGCTCAGCCCGGTGCCATGGAGTCTGGAAGATCAAGCTGGGCGGAGGTTTTGGAGGTGTTATTGTAAAAAATATCTTTTAGGGGGATTGTTTAGTTGGGAATATTTGGGGTAGTGGTGGTGTCTTTTTTGTTGTTGTTACCTTTTTAAAGTTACACTCTCATGGCATTTTCAGCTCCTTCCACTTCTGCAAATTTTCCAGGGTTGGGTTGGCAAAAGGCGGCTTCGCTGAGGACTGTTTACTGCTCTGGATATAGCAATGGTGTGACCGTCATTAAGAGACAAAAGGCGAAAATACACAGTCAAATCAAACAAAAGGCAAAAGACGCACCGGCCATCCCAACCACCATAGAAAATACCCCCAAGTTAACGATGGTGTTTGGCTCCAACCAGCTAGGACTTGTTTTCCAGTTTTAATCTAGTTTCCTGTGACGGCTTTAGTCTCTTTACACAAAGAGGTCTTCCTTTCCCTCACCCACCCCCCTACCAAGACGAGAAAAACAGAGATGTTTTTCTTCAAATAGATAGATTTTCACAGAAAGTGTACATGTTACTGGGAAGAAAGCTGACTAGCATTTATTGCTATAAACATTTTCAAAAGCTTAAAGCTAAAACCCTAGCTGTATAAAAGCAAAATCGCCTAAAAGCATTTTAACTGTTTTATGTTAGACAAGAGCGACAAAGACATACATGCAGATGAAGGTTCAGAAAATTAAGGACATCTCAGTAACATTAACATGAAAACTGCACTGCGTAAGGACAGAATGGACTGGGTACTTACAATGTAAAAGGTTTTTAAAAAACTTAAAAGAGTAACGACTGCTTACAATTTTTTGTTGCTGCCATTTCGCTAGTCCTAAAACTATACATTTAAAACATTACCTTGTTAAAAAGAGAGCAGAAGGAGTTAATAAGATGGCCAGGTTTAAGTGTTTAATAGAGGAAACTATATATATATAAAAATTTATTGTTCAGTCAAGAGAATACAGATTAAGACAGCTCCAAGCTCCCCCCACCCACCCAAGAAAAAAAAAAAAGGAAAAAAATTAAATATGTCGTTTACTTAGGTTTTTTGGAATTCAAAATTGTTAACTGCTGACATTAATGGTGTGCTATGACCTAGTTATACAAGACAAAGATGGATTCCAAGTCATAAGGAAAAATCCAGATCTTTTTAAAAAGTCTTCTTCATTCTTCCAATTGTGAGTCCTTTAGCCTGTTGACAAATGTTAAACACAACACTGAGGCGTCCTGAACTGGATGGTGGAGTCAAAGGAAAAACATTCCCCATTTGCAACAAAGGAAAAACCCACTTGGCCATTTAATTCCATTGCAGAAAAATGGCTCCCCTCATCTGTTGGCCTCTCCTTGGTGTCTGATGAAGGATGTTTTGAGAGCAGCGTCTAATAACTCAAGCCCTATAGAAGCCGCGCGCTGATTGGCTGCCGCACCCTGCCGCCCTGCTCCAGCCAATTACCTACCCACGGCCAAATTACAAACCCCGAAAAGAGCCCCAATGTGAAATACACCACCACGAAGCCCCAGCGAGGCGACTTCCTCGCCTCGGCCGCCCGACAGGAGAGGCAGAGGGGGCTACACAAACGCGTCCTCGCGAAGCCCGGGAGCCTTGGAGTTGAACTCACAAAATGGAAGCCGCGCGCTGATTGGCCGCCGCCACTCCCGGACCTTTAATAAAGAAAGGGGAAGGAAAGATAAATGCAAAAAAGGGGGACTCTCTCCTTCGTCGGTGACTGGAGGAAGGGGGGGGTGCGGGGAGAGAAGCATGTGTTCACAATTACAGGGCGATCCTCTCCAAAAATAAAAACAGAAAGAAGCTTCTATCACCCAGGTCCAGGCAAGGGCTGCATCCTCCCAGGAATGTGAATGCTAATTTGGTTAAAATCCTGGTTTCCCTTCCCCAGCTCCGCTCCGGGGGGAGGGGGTCGCGGGGCAGAAGAGGAAGCCGGAGCCGAGATACCTCGATTGCAACTCGTCTTGGAGCCTCCTTGCCGCCCCTCACGGCTCCCAGCGTCCAAACACAATCACAAACACACCCCAAAACCCAGCCCTTTCCCCTGAGCCCCCACGCGCCCACCTCCGGTTTTCGCAGTTTGGAAACAGTTTTGGAGGCCCCAGGCGCACACCGCGGCGGCCGCGGCTCGGAGGGTAACCCCAGCCGCGGGAGGTAGAGCTCGGGGGAGACCCCCTCCCCCGCCAGCCAAGCCCCCCACCTAAGTCCCAGCAGAATAAATAAATTAAAAGGCCTTCCCCCCGGGAGGGGGGAGGCAGTGTGGGAGCGCGAGAGTGAGGGGTGGGGGGCCGCTGGGGCCCGGGGCTTTGGCGGCGCAGCTGCCGCCGCCGGGAGAGTGCCTGGGGAAGCAGCGAGGAAGGAGAGGGGAGGAGGAAGAGGAGGAGGAGGAGGAAGAGGAGGAGGGTGAGCGCTCGGGTCGGGCTCCTTAGCGGTGTATTGTGGGATGTGCGGCTACTGGGAGCCGAGCCTCCGCCGCCAGCCGCCTCCCGGGCAGCAGCAGCAGCAGCAGTAGAGGCGGCGGCAGCAGCTC